AATAGAGCAAGAAAAGTACCTTTTACCCTAAATGAGGATGAAATGTGAATGAAATGCAAAAAGCTAATGTAACGTTGACTTGAAAGTAAAGATGGTGGAGATAATAGTGAACATACCCAACAACATTTGTGATGAAATTACATGATATTCCCAATCGTGTGGAGTCCGAATCACATCAAAAGTGCGAATTTGTTTCCTCAACGCAGGATCAACAAGTTATATATATGCCTTAAATCTGACCAGTTGAGATTTACCTTTCCATCATCTTCGAGGGTACGAGCATGGAAAACATAGGAGTGGAGATTTCACCTTTTCTATGCTATAGATACACCAAAAATACATCCTATTTATACAATATTACTCTCCCAACCATACATTTTTTATCCATTCTCTTATGTTTTCACCCTCACTTTTATCTTCTTATGCACTTAGATAGAGTATATCTTTTAGTATATCCATGACATTTTTCTTTTTTTAGTTCACTTCCAATATGTTTGGTTCATGGAATTTGAAAAGAAAAGAAAAAAAAATAATTTTCTCTTATTTTCCCAATAAAATGAAAGGAATTCTGTTTTTCCAACTCTTAAAACATTGTTTTTCTTAATTTCCTTTCTTTTTATTTTTTTTCTTTCCTCTCTCACCATACAAAAAAACTATTTTCCATGTCATTTCATTTTATTTTCCCTTTCAAATTCCTTTTAATCAAACATAGTGTTCAAGTCTTCACTCGGAGTTCAACTTCAGTTCTTCTACTAGAAATATTTGACCGGGGGATATAGCCATCCATATAGGAGGGAACTGGGCTGGATCCGTTTGTTTTGGTTTGGTACGTAGTAAAAGTGTAAAACAAGCCAGAGAGAGAGAGAGAGAGAGACGATGACTGGTGCTCTGACTTGGTCTCTCAAGAAAGTTGAACGAGCACCTGCAGTGCCGGCCTTTGTGCAAACAGCAAAAAACCCGATCAAGAAGCAACCCAAAACTCAATCCGTACATTCTTCATCTTTCCAATCAGCCACTAGCTTTTAGTCCACCTCTCGAAACAAAGGGGAAAACAAAGAAAGTTCAAGAATTTACTCTTAGATCCAACCACTCATCTTTTTTCTACTGGTAAGCCATTCTGCAATTATGTGCATCAGTATGCCATTTTTACTTATTTGCATATTAATTTACTATATATTGGTTGGTTGAATTTTCAGTGTTCCGGTCTAATTCAAGTAATGATATTGAAATTGTAGACCCCCAATTGAAATTTTACAATATTCAAATTGTTTGGTTGAATTTTTAGTGTTCTGACATCTGGTTATAATTGGTCTCTTTTTTTTGCCATTTTATGTGCTTTATTGTACCCCAATTTTTACCATATGTGGAACCTTCTTCAATTTGAAACTACTATTCATGCCAGCTTGATCTATTATTAGTTCATTTGGTAAAAGATGCTTGTGCTGTTTTTTTATAAATAATTTTTAGTTATTTAGTATAGTTTTTTTAGCTGATGATGCTTTTCTTTTTTCCAGTTCGAATTTACTTGGCTTGTTCTTAAAATAAGGACTTATTGGTCAAGTTCTGGACACGGACTTCAGACTGGTTTACTTAGAATCCAGCTGGAGAGCTGAATTGGTCTTATCATTGACTTCCACCAAGAGGGTCTGCTATGGGCTTTGTGGCTAGCAGCTCATTTGGGAAATATTATATGTACACATTTTGGTTCTTGATGGAAAGCTTGAGACTGTATTAGGTTAGGCATTATTAGAGCAATATGGGTGGGTTATGCTCGAGAAGAGCAACGGTTGAAAGTTGCAGAGTTCCACAACCCAGCAGTCACATAAGTTTTGGTGCTGGGACGGTTTATCAGTCACAGGGATTGGCCACACAAGTGAATGCCAATTGTATAGAATCAAATGATGTGGAAAACAGTGATAAACCGCAGAATGATCAACAGCTTTTTTCTTTCCCAGAGATTGATGCTATTCACAATGGGGCAGATATGGATGATGGGATTCCTCGCTTATCCAGAACACTCTCGCAGAAATCTAGATCAAGAAGATCCAGACAAGCGGCCATGGCAAAGGTACATAGCCCATAATATGTCTGAAGTCTAGGAATTATTATATTACTCTAGTCGTCTTCAGAAATCGATAAAATAAACTATTTGGAGTAATGGTTAGGTTCCGTTGACACTGGAGTTACGGTGACACTAGATGACACTGCTCGTTTGGAGGGGGCTGCCGGGGTGGGTAGGGAGCAGAACTGTGGTGGGGTTTTTTTTAAGGTGGTTAGGGGGTAGGAATCACTTTGGGGTCGAACAGAGCATCATTGTAGGTGCCCCAAATAAGCAATGTCATCCGGTGTCACCGTAACTCCGGTGTCAACAGAACCTTGCTGCTAGAGTAATACACTCAGAATGAGTGAGAAACCTTTCATTATAAAATTTTCTAATTATTAATTTGACCAATTATAAATAAATCAAGGTTAGGTATTAGAAGTATAACGGCTTCAATAAGGTTTGGATTTGCTGGAAAGCTATTAATAGTTGTTCACTTTAATGCTAATATATGATAATGGCATAATGTGATAATGTTTTTCTTAGTGATAGTCCAATTAACTATTTTTTTTGGAGGGCATGAGTTTTTTGTGGTGGGTGGGGGTGGGGTAAGGGAAGGGGGAACCTAATCAGGGATGGGATGTGGGTGATAGGAATCATAGGATTCAAACTCGTGTCCATTCCTTGGAAAGATGTGTAGTTTAATATGAAGTTACGTCCTGAATGGCCCCGTTTTTTGGGTCAATTTTTTTCAGGTCTACCTTTGATGGTATGATACTATTATAAGCAGTTCCTGAAGAAAAAAACTCATGTCTAAATGCCCTCTCCTAGATAGAAGCACAACCATTTCCATCTTTTGAACTTGCAATTTCCACCTGATCTTTTGAAGAGTTTGGCTGATTCATATTTCATTCGTAAAAGGTATTCCATTCTTAAAGGGAAGCCTCTACAATTTACTTATAATATCATAAAATAGGTTCGAAAGAAATAGAAAATGAAGACCCAAACCACTCCTTCGGCATTCGTTAGTTCACTTATGTGATATGTGAACTGTCATCTCTTGGTTAACCATCGTATAGTCTAGTTAATATATGTACTTCTTGAAACATTTTTATATCAGCATTATTTGAAAAACCTGCAATTAATATTCAATACTTTAGTTATGGCTTAATCCCAAACTGGAGTTATGATTAATATTTTAATGTTTCAAGCATGCTATTTTTTTCTTTTTCAAAACGTGACGAGTAGAATTCATTGCAATAAACTTTATGCTTGTTTAATCTTTTGATTGGCCATGACAGGTTTCAGAAGTGAGTTCGCTTCTGGGGAGAGCTGGTGGGAAGGCCTATGATGTGTTGGATACATTAGGTAGCAGCATGACAAACTTAAACCTCAGTGGAGGGTTTGCATCTAGCATGGCTACTAAAGGAAATAAAATTTCAATTTTGGCTTTTGAAGTTGCTAACACCATTGTGAAAGGCGCAAAACTCATGAATTCCCTTTCAAGTGAGAACATTAAACATTTGAAGGATGTTGTGCTCCCCTCTGAAGGGGTGCAACGTTTAATATCAATGGATATAGATGAGCTCTTGAGAATTGCTGCGGCAGACAAGAGGTGCCCATGGCAGTAATTGCATGAGAAGCTTTTTATAATATATTTCAATTAGGCTAAATAAGTGGCTTTTTTGTTTGTTTCACTACAGGGATGAACTGAAAATATTTTCTGGAGAGGTGGTTCGCTTTGGAAATCGTTGCAAAGATCCTCAGTGGCACAATTTGGACCGTTATTTTGAGAAGTATTTATGACCCTCCTAAATCTAGTTTAACTATAAAGTTTCTTTTTTCAACCCAAGTAAGTTTTATATTGCATGTTATCCCTTCATTTGATTTAGGTTAGAATTAGAACTCACACCCAACGGCCAACTTAAAGAAGAAGCAGAAGCGGAGATGCATCAATTGATGACATTTGTTCAGCATACTGCTGTGGGTATTATGTCCATGATTTTCTACCTTTTTCTTGTTATTATACAAGAGCTTGGCTGGTAAGCTTTGAGGAGTAGAAAAGTGAAACAAAATGTAGATGGTGATTCACTGAATGATAAATTACTATTTAAGAGAGATGAGCTGATTGCATGATTTCAAATTTGTACAACCATGGTGGGAGCCGATGGATGAAATTTCATTAGAATTTGAGCAAAGTGCTCAAAGCAAAAGATAGAGTGATAGGCTATATGCCATATTCCATTCTAGCTGCAATTTTAGTTTTTCTCTAGCATGCCATTGTTCTCGAATCACAAAAATGAATTGGAATATTGGGGAGCTTGTGGGTTCTTTTTTGTATTGTAACGTTGGAACTTTGTTATGATTTCCAAGTAACATACATCAATGGAATCACATTTTCTTTAAATATGGATGTGTCAAGTGTTTTTTGTGTTTAAGCTTCTGTGGTGTCCCTTTGGTAGAAGCAGCAAACTGCCGTAGATGTTTACAGCCTGCAGTTGCATGAAATGCAGTTTCTATTGTGATAGAAACTAAGTTTGGGATGTTCGGAATGGTAGAATAGACATCAAAAGGAGACATATTAACTCAACCATGTATGACAAGTTTGAAAACCAGATCTGGAATCACTCATAGAGGCTTAATATAATCAGAAATAAATATAACGCACTTATGCACTTTACAGACTTCACCCTATTGAAATATCAAATGAAAAGCATTAGTGGGAGTCTCTTCTTGAGACAAAACAACCATGTAGAAATAGATCCTTAAATAATTTGACCTGTGATTTATGGTTTTAAAGTGATACTCCCTTCGTCCCAATCTTTTTGGAACACAAGGTAGTGGGATGTAGATTAAGGTAAAGTATAATTGTGTTGTTAATATTGATGTGAAAAAGTATGAATGAATGCAAGTCATACAAACATTACTAAACATGAAAGTAGACAAAATTGAGGGCACTAACAAAAAAGGTAAAAAGGAAAAAAATGGTGGGTTGGGGTTACAAGCCAAAATGATCACTGGGAACTGCATTCCATTAGTACAATCTTTAGATTCTTCTATGTTGTAAGAATTAATTCCTTCAGCACTTTCTGCTTTACTTTTGTTTGGATAAATTGTGTGGAAAAGAAAATGCTAATGATTGATTTCTGGGAAGACAATGCTCTGTTTGTTGATGCTGAACTCTTCTTTCTAGCTGGTGCTCATATAACTAGTATTCTCCCAACTCATAAGCTTAGCTATTGATTTCATTATCTTAGATCTAATTAAGTTAATCATTGTTATTTCTAGGAACTATATCATGAGTTGCATGCCTTGGACAGATTCGAGCAGGACTATCGGCGTAAGGCCCAGGAAGATGATACTTCAAGTACAGCTCATAGAGGTAATTTGTATGTGCTTTTATTCTCTTGTTTTAGGACACTGTAAATTGCCTTCAATACTTTATGAGAAGACAAATATATATTCAAAGTATATTTATCAATACATTGGAGAGTTTGGTAACTAAAAATGAGGGTAGAAGTTTCATTATAATTAGCCCTCAATTTAACACCAACATGATAGAAAGGTAAAAATGGACTATCTGTGAAAAGGTACCCATAAAAGAAGGATCACGGGCATAATATTTGATAATAGAAGACTAAATATGGAAACCCCATGTTATAAAGAACGAATTATACATCGTCCAAAAGAACCATCTGCCCTAATTTTCTACATATCAACTTATTTCACTATTGAAAAATAAGTTATGTTTGTTGATATCTCTGAAAATATTGCTTCGCAGTCAATTCAGTTATATTTTTTGTTATGTATCTGATAATGCTTTTAAGAGAAATATGATGCCAAATTGGCACCAAGTAAAAGACCCTTAATAATAATACTCCATCCACCCAATTAAAAGGTTCTCGGTGTGACCCGACACAGTCATAAAGGTACTGAAATTGTACCATTGATGTTAATGTTGATGAGAGAAATAGCACAGACCATGCAGTTCTTAATAGTGAAATACTAATCTTATTCTGGGATGAAGTTCAAAACGAAGTAGGAGCTTTTTTGGGGACATAAGTAGTAATGTAGTATTATTTTTACTGTGTATTATGTTTTACTCTGTAATATGTTGTATTTAATATAATTGCTGCTATGCATTTCTTTGTTCATCATGTGAATAGATCCCTCTGATTTAATTGCATATCCTTTATTTTCAATCTCAAAGGGGTTTGAACCATTATATTATTGAATGGCTTAACTGCGGTTGGTGCAAGAGCCTTAAAAGTTTACAGTGTTCATTCATGCTAAGGCAAAGACTCTGTCATCACTTATGACAAGGCTCAAAGTGTTCCAGTTTGGAATATAACCCCTTTTGCAGCAATAAATCGTTCTAAACTCTCAGATTAAGTGACTGTATGGAATATCTTGGGATTGTGTTTTCCTTTTTATGTTACATTCTCTCATTGAGTCAGCAAATGGCACCTCTTTGCTTTGGGGAGAATTTTGTGCTATTCGAGTACACATCTTAATCTTATAGAGTGTGAGGTGCTGAGTAATTTGATACCTCCCCTTCCCATAACAAATTTCAGTTTTTCCTTTCTATCCGTCTTACAATAAAAATGGTGGTTGGATATATTATTTCCTTTTTAAATTAATTCTAACCACGCAATATCACTTTCTTGGTAAGCATGCCAAACCCAAATGTGAACGTTATATCAGGACAGTGCAGGAAAAAATTGTATGTAAGATATACTCCCTCCGTCCCTGAGTATTTGTTCACTTTTGACTTTTTCGGTCAAAATTGGTAAACTTTGACCTCAAATTAAATAAAAATGATATTAGATATTGATACAAAAATATTTATTATATTTATCATATGGAATTTTTTGAAAATATTATTTTATCAAATTAATATACAATATACTCCGTGTATTTCATTTAATTATAGGTCAAAGGTTGAAAATGGTTGACCAAAAAAGTTAAAATTGGACAAATATTCAGGGACAGAGATAGTAGTTTTTTTAATCATTAAAAATTGGTCTTGAATACTCTTTTTTAATTCAGTAGTTCAGGTTGCAATAGAGGAGACTAATTGTTGAATAGAGTAAATTCTATAATTGGTCCTTTATAACAGGGGGGTTTCCCTATTTAGTCCTCTATTATCAAATATTACCCAAGTGGTCTTTCTTTTATGGGTACCTTTCCACAAATAGTCCTTTTTGGATCTTCTATCATGTTGGTGTTAATTTGAGGGCTAAAAGTGTAATTTCACAATGATAATATATCTTTTTTGTCATACACAATTCCAAAGGCTGTTCCGTTTGCGTCGTTTGTGAATTACAGTCGCTTTTTACGACAACTATAGTCTACAAATGTGATCTTTCGTCAGAATCCTAGCCCACAATCATAGTCATTATTTTTGTGTTATTCGCTTAACCAATATCAGAACACGTCACTAGACATAATGTTGACGTCAAATTATATTTTTAGCCTTTAAATTAACACCAACACGACAGAAGATCAAAAAAAGGACCATTTGTGGAAAGGTACCCTTAAAAAAAGGACTACGGTGGTAATATTTGATAATAGAGGACTAAATATGGAAACCCCCTATTATAAAGGACCAATTATGGAATTTACTCTTGTTGAATATATCCTAGCTTCCATTGGCGAAGGCATTTTGGGAAGCAGATCAAAATATTCATTGTGTGGTGCCATTTTTTTATGGAGTATATTTTAAAATTTATATTTCTCGTTGTGGTGCTTTCCTTTTAATGCTGTAGCTTTTCATATATGTTATAACCAAATGTTGTGATTCTTAGATGGTACACCTGTAGTTCCGCTGACTTGATTGAACGGGATTGCTAAACTGTAGTGTGTAGTTTTCAGTCATTGTAATGATTTTCTATTGTATATGTTTTCTACGGTTAGGAGATGGCCTCGCAATCTTAAGGGTCGAGCTGAAAAGTCAGAGGAAACATGTAAAAAGTTTGAAAAAGAAGTCTCTCTGGTCAAAAATCTTGGAAGAGGTAGCACGTCAGTGCTAGTTTATTTTACCTCTTTTATTTGATTTGATTATTACAATGGCTAATTGCACTTTCGCACACTAAGGACATGCCTCTTTAATTCCATTTGTATTTTATTATACGCGATCATTCAAAATATTTACAATATATTATTGATTTTCACTCTCTTGATTTAAAAGGTGATGGAGAAGTTGGTGGATATTGTTCATTTTCTACATTTGGAGATTCATGCTAGCTCTGGAGGTGTTGGTAATGCATTTCCGTAGCGATAATTCACAGTTTTTTTCCGGTGGTGGCATGTTACTATATCTTTTCCCCATATTATTATTGTTAACAATGAAGGATTACTTGCTGTTGTTTCTCTATTATCAATGTTGAAGAGAACATCCTATATTAATACTTTGGCCCACAGCCAGCTTTTACTTCAGCTTTTTTAGGTATTTGTTCCAAGCGCATGAAAAACATGCTTTTTGTAAACCAAGCTTGAACAACATCAGCCCCAAATATCTATAAACAACTGATCCAAATAGCTAGAAAAAGCATCCTTTTGTGGGGGAAAAGAACTGTTCAAGAACCACTTCTACTAGCTGGTCTTTAGGCCAAAAGCCTCCTTTTCATAAAAACACACCAAAATGTTCCTTGCCAAATACTCACCTAAATTCGAAGTAATTGAAGTGTTGATAGCTGAAGCCGGATGCTTTATGGAGTATATGGAAGTGGAGCATACAAAATTTTATTCCCTGGTTAATCAACTAAATTAAAGCACCTACATATTTGTAGGCAAGTAGGTGGTTTAAAGGTAAAGATGTGCAGGGAGTGATATGCCTCAAAAATCAATACAACTTGCCTGGATATTGAAAACCCTTGTATTTTATGGTCATGCCTTTCGCCATTCCAAATATAAAAATATGAAGTTTGGGTGCATTACAGGTTATGGTCGATAGTTATGCAGACAATTTTATGTGACGAACATTCCCTCCCTTCAATCATACATATAATCTCTTGTGAAGGGCTGGATATGATTTTTTCTCCCAAAACTTACACCCTTTTTTTTCTCTTACGTTTTTTGTTGATACTTGTAGATAAAAGCAAACCGATAAGCAATAACCATCTAAGGTTGGGATCTGCAGGTCTTGCATTGCATTATGCAAATATTATCACTCAGATCGATACACTTGTAAGTATCATTTGTGTTTTGAAAATCTTTTTCTGAAGCTGAAATCTATTTCCATTCCACACTTGCTATTTAGAATTTGGCAATGATACTTTTGATAATTTCTTACTGTCTTGCTGTTTTTTCCCTTTCGGCTTATTTTTCATTGGTCTGAGAAAATGAAACACAATACTTCAAATTTTGTAGTGGCTATGGCTTAATCAAGTTTTCAATGTCATCAGGTAACCCGATCAGGTTCCGTGCCGCCCAACACAAGAGATGGTCTTTACCAAGGTTTGCCACCAAGCATTAAGTCTGCTTTACGATTCAAGTTACAATCGTTCCAACTTAAAGAAGAGGTACTACTTTAATCTTTTATCCAATAGGGACTGATTCTTTCCTTTTCCCAATTAATGTAATTTTCTTTCCTTTTTTTCATTTCACGTCTGGACTTTTTCCGGGTTCTTGATCCCTAGTGACTCTTTTTATGGTATTGATACAGATGTCTGTTCCTCAAATAAAAGCTGAAATGGAGAAAACATTGCAGTGGCTTGTACCTATGGCGACCAATACGACCAAGTAGAACTCTCCTTACAATATGGCGCGGATAGTTTATTCTTTTTTTTTCAGTTGATGAAAAATGCTTTTCTAATTCCAGGGCACATCATGGCTTTGGATGGGTTGGAGAATGGGCCAATACAGGGTAATCTCATTATATGCATGTCTAATGGCTTACCCCTTATGTCCCATAATTTTGTCCCACTCTCCTTTTTAAGAAAAAGATGTTATCCATATCCCTTTTCTCTCTTTTAAAGAACTTTCACCCCAAAATTTCAACTTTATTACAAAAAATGTCATATGTGTCAGGCCTGAAATAAACCGGAGGTGTGGAGGGCTAACCGATATACTTCGAATCGAGACACTGTACCACGCGGAAAAAGAGAAGACTGAAAACTACATTCTTGAACTTGTGGTCTGGTTGCATCATCTTGTGAGTCATCAGTCAAGATGCTCTCCTAATAATGGCTGTGGGCTCCGGTCCCCAATGCGTTCCCCTAACCAGAAGACGGCGATTCAGTTGTCAAGCCATAAACCAAGCCCCCCACCATCTCCCACACTGTCAGTGGAAGACCAAGAGATGCTCCGCGACGTGAGCAATCGGAAGCTGACACCTGGAATCAGCAAAAGCCAGGAATTTGGGACAGCGAAAGCCGCCAGGTCATCAGGCAAGCACCAACAGAGGCTGAGTAAGAGCAGTAGCCATTCACCCACCACTACTGCCACTAGTGGCGCATCCGGGACAAAGAAAGATCCCTTCTGTCCCATAAGGAGACCCTCCTCTGTCCCTGTTATAAACTTTGATATTGATCGGATTAAAGCGCTGGACATCATCGACAGAGTGGACACGTTTCAGAGCTTGTCTTGAGAAGAAGAAGCATTTTGGTAGGAATTTGCACCTCCAAGTTACTTTCTTACATGTATATCCCCCCTTGGCTAGAGAAAGTTACTACGTTTTGAGAGTTGTGGTTAGCAACGGTTTTACTTTGTACCACTCGTTGATTACGTTGTACCCCACATGTGGATATAATGACCTTACATCAACCGTTCCATCTTGGTACATCCTCAATTGTTTTGTTTGTTTTTTTAATGCTCATCTTCAACTTTTTTCTACAACCTGAAACCGTATTTTGGGGTTTGCCCATGAGCTTCCTGCTCTCATCATCATCTACCTCGAGTGTGTGTTGGGAGATATGTTTGTTCTGTTATATCCCCTTGCTAGTTCCTCACACAGGAGCACATTGTGCAACAGTTCTCTTCCTTCAATAAAGGCTCCTTGGTTCAGGTTGATTATACTTGGCAGAATCATCTTAAGCCTATCACACATAATTTTAGGTATAACTTTGTAGATAACATTGTAGCTAGTTATAGGCCTAAGATCAGCTGGACTCTTAGGATAATCACATTTTGGAATGAGAACAATATTGGTGAAATTAATTTGCTTGACAATATATCCTTTGTGAAAGAACTCCTGAATAATTTTAGTGAATAAACCCCCCACGTTCTTCCATTGACACTTAAAGAACTCACTACTATGGCTCCGTTCCGTTCAACTTATTTTTTCTGATCTGATCTGATTCTAATAAGTTCTGATCTGATCTGGTCTGATCTGATCTGATCGGATCTGATCTGATCTGATTGGATCTGATCTGATTGGATCTGATCTGATCTAATTGGATCTGATCTGATTAGATCTGATCTGATCTGATTGGATATGATCTGGTCTGGTCTGATCTGATTAATTATGATTTAATTTAAAATTTCAAATCAATAATTTAATTTGACTTTATAATAACGTTTGAAAATTGTAATGATAATTTATATTATAATATAATCAATATTTTTTATTTAATGATTATTTTTTAATAAAATAAATATAGTTAATTCATATATTAGAATAATCATTCATATAATAATGTAATAATATTTTTTATTTTATGATAATTTTTTTGTAAAATTATAATTATACATTATAATAAATATTTAATTTAGATATACATTAAAAAGTAATTAAATTTAGATAATCAATATATAGAAGAGATAGTATTTTTATTAAAATATCTCATCCTTATAAAAGATCAAAAGTTTAGAAACTCAAATTACAAGTAGCAATAAAAATATATTTTAAAAGTATATTAGATTGACATTGTCAATGTATTTTAAAACTTATTTTTCCGACGTCTAATAATTAAGGATTACTTTCACAGTTTTCTATTTAACATATTTCTAAAGTTTATTCTTATTCATTTTTAAGAATAATGATGATGATGATGATGATGATGATGATGATGATGATGATGATGATGATGATGATGATGATGATGATGATGATAATAATAATAATAATAATAATAATAATAATAATAATAATAATTCTTGATGAGATCTGATTTTAATAAGTCCTGATCTGATCTGATCTGATTGAATCTGATCTGATCTGATTGGATCTGATCTGATCTGATTGGATCTGATCTGATCTGATTGGATCTGATCTGATCTGATTGGATTTGATCTGATCTGATTGGATCTGATCTGATCTGATCTGATCTGATCTTATTCGATCTGATCTGATCTGGTCTGGTCTGATCTGATTTTAATAAGAATAAGAAAAAATAAGAAAAAATAAGTTGAACGGAACGGGGCCTAAGAGACCACATATCACAATATTTAAAACTGTGTCAGTATGCATCTTGGTGCAAATGTTTCAAAATCATTGGGGAATGGATAGAAATATCAATTTTATAAATAAATGATCAATTATATTAAACATATTTGATCCTTTCCCATAAGAATACTTTTAAAAAAAAAATATATCATTATCAAAATTTTGTTTTTTGTATATGCACTTAGTTATTTCCATCATCTCGGATGGAGCCGAAATTTCACCATTTTTGGCTTTGGGATGTGATGGAATAAATCAAAATGGATCTCTAAACTGTTTGTGCTTCTTTAATTAATGAAGTAGCAGTTAGTTAAGCAATGCAACTTTCGACGTTGAGCCGGGGGTCTCTTTGGAAACAGCCTCTCTACTTTCGAGTAGGGGCAAGGTCTGCGTACACACACCCTCCCCCAACCCTACTTTTGTGGGATTTAACTGAGTTGTTGTTGTTGTTGTATATGCACTTAGTTAAAAATTTGATTCATAAAAAATGCTAGTCTAGAAATGGTCAGTGATAATACCAATTTTATATTTTCACTAATTTTTTGCTACATCATAAAAAGTTTTATCATAAAATTATATTTTATATAATATTTTTCATTTAATAATTTTATTTCGGACAATACTATATTTATCTTTCACAAATTTGATTTTATAACATAATTAATTTTATCACAGGATAAAAATAAATAACTGAATTGCTTTTTAAAAATAAAAAATATAAATACTCAACTAATTTCAGGAAGTAATGAATTCTTTATTTGTTCTAAACCTTGTTACGTAAAATTTTTCCAAATTTTGAAATCATTATCAAATTTTTATTTTAAAATAAAAAGAAAGGTCAATTCATCATTAATAAAATTTGCCTGATAAACAACTAATAAAGGCTTGCCATCCACCTTAATATATATAGCCCACATAAGCTCGACACTTGACGACTTTCTAGCAAATAGAGTCTCAAATATTATATTAAAGGATTATTATTATTACAATTTAATCGTTTTTACATTGGGTGAAAGAACCAGACAAAAAGAACCCAAAGTTAGTTCTCGTGATAACAAAGTAATTATGCATATAACAAAGTGATAACAAAGCATTTTATTTATTTACTTTGCCATATACGTAATATTTATGTTATGAACTTCTCCGTAGTATTTAACCCGTGCAATGCACATGGTTTATCAATTTTTTGTCAATTCTAAATTTTTTAAGATTTTGTTCTTTTAGATTATAGTTCTTAGGATATGTTTGGTTAAGAGAAAAATATTTTTGTAAAATATTCCAATAATTTGTTATGTTACGTTGCATATATGCAATGTAACATAACAAATTATTGGAATTTTTTTGCAAAAATATTTTTCTCATAGAGGAGAAAATGACTACCGGTTGTTTAAGATTAAAGTTCATTTTCCTACTCAATCTTCGAGTATTCTAATTCCCCGAGTTCATTTCCCCCACCCACCCTCATTCTCTCCCTTAACCCCGCCCTCGGGCACCCCTCCCCCAATGAAGCCCTTTGAATGGGCAATTTAAAGTTTTAAATGCTAATGGAATCCTGGTCCCTAAATATTTTTCATGATAACTTTGTATCCAAAACTTTTTAAATAAGAATCTTTGAATAGTATTTTTTAATACTTCTTTGCCGTCATTATATTTTCTTGTATATGCAATGCTAAATTTAACATTAAATATGAAACTACTTTTACAGAATGTTTTGGGTAAAAATGAAACATGGATATTTGTTTTCAAGACCTAAATAAAGTATTTTAGTTAAGATTTAAGTGTTTGTCACCAAAGAATACTATTTTGAAGGCTTGAGGTTAGAAATGATGTGATATCTATATTCAATGATGATAGCGATATAAGGTCACAGTTACAACAGTGGCTCATTTTCTATTCGTGAACTTGTGATGATTTTTATGGATGGTTACTGCACAACATAATGCCTCACTCGTGCAATGCATTGGAATGTATTATTTTCATAACTTGGGATGAACTTAATAAATTTAAATTACTAAATTTTAACTTTTGAAAATGAATAATGTCTAAAACTATTCATTTTAGCATAAATGATAAAGAATAATTCAGTAAAACTCAATCCCAATACTTACTCTATATGTGATCACATGACACTAAAAAATAAACATGAATCCATCAAGACATTACAGTGCAACATCTCCTAATGTAATTTGGGAGGATGAGTTGCCTTCTTGAATTGAAGTGTGGAATGATGAGAGACAAAGAATTGAAATATGATAACAGTTTCTTGATAAAATAATATAATCATGTTATTTTTGATTTTGTAGAATTTTAGATGTAGTTTTTTAACATATATAAATTCTATTTTTAAATACCGTACCAATTTTCATATAAAATGATTTGAGAATAATTTTAATCAAACATCATAAAGCACAACAGAAAATTTAAATTGGAATAAAGAGTGTAATATTAAGAGGGATGCTAGAGGTACATCAAAGGTGTACCCCAAATGTACGACACTCATTTTTATTTATTTATTTATTATTTATTTTATTTACCAATATATGTGGCACTAGAGGGGGTGGTGTACAGTTGATGTACACCTTTGATGTACACATATCATTTTTTTTAATAAAAATTATGAAGAAATAATGATACTAGTTTGGTCGGCATGAGTGACTCACATCAAGAGGTTATGAACAAATTCAAGAGTAGCATTCACTTGTAGAGTTGTTTTTACAAAAAAAAAATATTTAGATGATTTGGGACAAAGATGCATTTTTTGTATGTCATCAACAATTTAATTCACCAAGCTCTACACTCATAGACGTTTCATGTTTTTTATTCGCTTTCATTGGACGTGTGTCACCTGACGTGAAATCAAATTAGGAGCCTTAGGTTGCCACATGTCATCATTCTAAACAATCAACTTTCAAATTTTATATTAAAGGATACCATAACTTATGCGTATAAGAAACCCCAAACTCAATATCTTATATATGTTACCATTTATTTTCATTACCATAAACCTAAGTTATACTCCATCCGTCCCAAAAAAACAGTCCCGTTTCGAAAAAATTGTGTCCCTTAAAGTCCATCCCATTTCTTTTAAAAACCCACTTTTACCCCTTACTTTTTCATACCCTATCGATCACATCATATTTTTTTCCTAATAAGCTACCCATCAAATTCTACTTTTAACCATCACATCAAGGATATTTTTGAAAAGTCAACACAAAATAATCAATCCTTATTTTACCACTTTAGTCAAACCGTCCCAATCTTTTTGGGACGGAGGGAGTATTTATTTAATTAGTGTGTTGATATTCATTATTACTCGTTATTTCATTGCATATAATTCGTTAAATATTATATATTTATGTACGCATATACATTATTTATTTACATACAATTTATGATATGAATAC